AAGAATCTAAGAAAATTATAAATAAATTAAAGCCATATATAGCTATTCATTGGAGAATGGAGAATGGACAGCCATCGTTAATTCCAAAATGTGCAAAGAACCTAATTAAGACGGTGAAAAAAATTCAAAATCAATACGGAATAAAAAATGTATATCTTGCAGCTGATTTTCCGCTTAATAGCGGTAGAGCTCAATCAGATTCATTTCGAAAACTTTCAAATTTTCATAAAGAAGCCATTAAAATACTTGGATTAAATAATAGTTTTGTAAATAGTTCCGATCATATAAAATTCAATACATGGGTTTCAATGGACGGGTTATCACAAATTAGAAACGATCCAAAGTATGCGAAAGAATTTAAAGGGCCTGGTATACAAGGAATACTTGATAAATTAATTTGCATAAACGCAAAATATTTTTTAAGGGGACCAAAAGGTTGCGCTAGGGTAACTAGTAGTTTTACACAAGCTATCATTAAGGAAAGAAAAATGTTGATAGATAAAAATGATTTGATTAATACTGATTCTTTTTGGTGAATAACGGTTTATATTAAGAAGATGACATTATAAACGGAGGAATATTACATTATAAACGGAGGAATATTACATTTAACAACTATACAATAAAATTTATTAATATTGTGAAAATACTTCTATATAAACACAATCATAGTAAGTTTTTTTACTAATTTGTTGATAAAAATATCCCTTTAAAATAACAAATTAATAAAGGTTTTTTATTTAAAATTGACAATTTAAATAAAAAAAATTTTATTCAATTTAATTAAGTGGTTGATAGGATATTCTTTTAAAAAAAAATCAAACCGTTTACGTATCAAATAGAAGTTATGCCAAAATTTTTACAAAACTAGATAGCTGCATGACGTTATCGTGCAAAACCAGGAACGGAAAGCCTAAAAAAAGAACACAGTTGATTATCAACATGACTGCTGGACGATTACTTTACCCTTCAACTGATTATTTTTTCATCAAATAAATAAATCAATGTGGCATTTATTTACGATGATTTTTTATTATCGAAACGATATATCCGTTAAGTAATTATCTAAGTGTACAATACTGGTAAATGATGAAAAATAACGATTTTGAGGGTTTTTTTTATCGATATCAATGTCACTCCCATGTACAGCTACGAGTTACATTAACTCTGATAAAAGAAATTTTCTGTCGTATAATTGTTGCATCCACCTTTACAGTAAATAGCTATGATCATGAATAAATTATTTTAGTTGATCTCCAAGAGCACACCAAGTTAATTTTTCGTTTTGCATTGCCCTCCGACCCAAATCCAATTTTTTTTTACAACAATTTACTTTATCATAAACAAAAACAATAACAATATATGATAATAATAATGGTAAAATTTATTTATCGTGTCTATACGGCACTCTTATATGATCGGCCAATCGAATCTCAAGACAGGTGTAACGTTACACAAACAAGGAAATTCAAAACAAACGTTCGCATATGAAACTACCTTTCAGGTTCTAACAAAAAAAATTCCTTGTAAGATTTTACAACAAGACCGACCTTAGCCTCCACCTTAACCTTACCTAACACTAACCCTAACCATATAAAACAAACGCTGTTTTGATTTCGACGACATCGCTCAGGCGGCGTATAAATTATCTCTAATTATAATTATTTAAAAGACTATTGGGGATAATGATATCCGGGGTACTATATCTCAAAAAACTGTCTAAGAAACAGGGTCAGGTATACTAAGCAAAAAATGTTCAGAACCCAAATTTTGTGTAACTAAATTTGGACTATTATATATAACCGTTAAACTGCACCCTAACCCTAAAATTTGGTAAAAATATCTAGAGTGCTATATCTAAAAAAACTGACTAAGAAACAGGGGTCAGTTGTGTTAAGTAAAAATGTTTAGAACCCATGAAAACCTCGTGTAACCTAACATTTTGAATATTATATCTGACCCTTGGATATCAATATCCACGAGTGTTATATTGATTTTTACTATTTAAAAATAGATATACAAAAATTATTCGAGTCTAATTCAAAATCGATCCCTTTTATGAACCCTGATTGGGTTGAATCTACAAATTTCAGCATCATCCATCTCAGTATCATTAACACAGTTAAATACGCTTTCATATTGTTAACCGTTTTAAACAAAAAAATCATGTCATTAACACTAAAACGTCCACATTAAATCTATTGACAATTTTGGTATAGGTGAAGATTGCACTAGGCCACCAATAATATATAATTAGGGTAGCTGCGCAGCGCGTGTCGCCGCGCAGAACCAGTACGATCACGTAACAAGTTTAAACTCATGCTCGCGTCTTACTGATTTAAAAAGGCATTTCTGAAATTAGCACAAATAAAAATAAATTCAAAATTTGTTATTTTGAATGCTTCAATCATAACACTTTTTATTATTATTGATTAGAAAACATAAGGAATCTGTTTACTATTAATCACGGTTTCTATGTTATAAATTGCATACTCATGACTACTAAGTAAATATGTCGTAGCTTAATACTAAATTAGCCGTTGTATCTTTGCATGAAAAAAGTATCCAAAAAGAAATTACAGCCGGAACGAGAATAGGCTATATCATTATATAGCATGTTAGTGCGACTTATCCGTAGGCTCTTAATACTATTGCTGTATAACTAATCACAAAACAAGAGGTTCTTGCACTGCCATTGTCATGAACCCTAATTACATCATGAAATTTTTGCATTACTATTGTAATTGCGAAGTCTATATACAGTACATACTTTTTACATTAACTAGTGCAATGGCACATGATTTTACATGTGCATTACAAAGTTATGCAACCATTACTGGACTTTATGTGCCAGCTTTATGAAAGCTTTGGCCAACGTTATTCATGTAACAAAAATTACATGTCAAAAACTTACAGTAAAAATCACACAAATAATAGAAAATTTCCACCCTACGTATATATAAAAAATATATACTTTACATATGATACTTATTTTATAGATAATTTATTATTGTAAATATCA